CTTTTTAGCAGAGCCCGTGTTGAAGGTTGCATCTCTTTGCATTTACACTGTCAACATTGCTACGACAACGCCCTGGCATTTGAGGAAGAGGGAGAGTCAGAAGGGCAGGAGAAAGAAGACAGGAGAAGGGGCATAAACCCAGCTTCTGTTTTTTTCCATCGTGGGTTGACCCTACCCACGATGGAGGGCATTAGACCACTGCTCTAAATTAATTCTAATTGATGAGATCGAATGAATTTAATTTATTTAATTTAGATCTAAGTAATAGATCTAAATTAATCTGATTTAGAGCATTCATTGCTAAAAGCCTAATTCTCACAGTGCTGTCTCTATATATTTATCCATGTAGTATGGCTGTAGTACTATTGTTATCTATCCTTATTGCCTTCTTTACTCCCCCCTCTTATTGGTATGATGATGGTGACGATGATGGCGATGGTTCTGTTGCTTTGCATGTAGACTGAGAACGTCTACACCAAACTGACCAAATAAAGTATTCAGTTCAATCTGCTAGGAGGTATTCTCAACACCTTGCGATACCGACCCAATCCTTACTTCCTGCAAAGTTGGCTCAAGATGTTTTATTGCTTGAGGTGAACCCAACGGATAGCAATAGCAACAGCACTTAGACTTATATACCGCTTCACAGGGCTTTGCAGCCCTCTCCAAGTGGTTTATTGAGTCAGCCTATCTAGGTCCTCGTTTTACCGACCTCGGAAGGATGGAAGGCTGAGTCAACTTTGAGCCGGTCAGGATCAAACTCTTGGCAATGGGCAGAATTAGCCTGCAATGCTGCACTCTAACCACTGGGAAGGAAGGAAGGAAGGAAGGGCAATAGCAACAGCACTTAGACTTATATACCGCTTCACAGGGCTTTGCAGCCCTTTCCAAGCGGTTTACTGAGTCAGCCTATCTGAGTCCTCATTTTACCGACCACGGAAGGATGGGAGGCTGAGTCAACCTTGAGCCAGTCAGAATCAAACTCCCAGCAGTGAGCAGAATTAGCCTGCAATGCTGCATTCTAATCACTGGGAAGGAAGGAAGGAAGGAAGGAAGGAAGGAAGGAAGGAAGGAAGGAAGGAAGGAAGGAAGGAAGGAAGGAAGGAAGGGCAATAGCAACAGCACTTAGACTTATATACCGCTTCACAGGGCTATGCAGCCCTCTCCAAGCGGTTTACTGAGTCAGCCTATCTGGGTCCTCATTTTACCGACCACGGAAGGATGGAAGGCTGAGTCAACTTTGAGCCGGTCAGGATCGAACTCTTGGCAATGGGCAGAATTAGCCTGCAATGCTGCACTCTAACCACTGGGAAGGAAGGAAGGAAGGAAGGAAGGGCAATAGCAACAGCACTTAGACTTATATACCGCTTCACAGGGCTATGCAGCCCTCTCCAAGCGGTTTACTGAGTCAGCCTATCTGGGTCCTCATTTTACCGACCACGGAAGGATGGAAGGCTGAGTCAAGTTTGAGCCGGTCAGGATCGAACTGCCGAACAGCTGGCAGTCAGCAGTCGGCAGAAGTAGACTGCAATACTGCATTCTAACCACCACACCACCACAGCTCATTACAACTGAGCTGAAGGGCATGTTAGCCAAACCTAGTCAAATTATTTCTGCTCACCAGGCAGAGAAACTGATCTGTCTCTCTGTCTACCCTTCGATAAAAACGAAACCATGACAATATACCTACATGATTTAACAACTGGCTTCCCCTTTGTCATCCCCCAAATCTGTTGCCTGTAGCAGCCAAAAGGCAGAGGCAGCC